TCTGAATCCAGGACAAAGCCAGCCTATTCATGCCTTTAAGTTTTGGTTAAATTTTCTGCAAAATGGTGTGTATTAACTGGAACCACTCCTGTGAGGCAAGATGAAGCCTGGGAGGACTGATAGTGGAGTCTCCTGAAAACTGCAAGACACAACTTTTCTTCACTGTTTGGCTACATTATTTCTGTTCACTTTGGAATGAAAAGTATCAAAGCATCTAAAAGAATTTCTGCTTCAAATTTCATGTATTTTAATTCTCTTCTTCTAACCTATCAGCATCAGACACCTTATTGTCTCAGCCATCTTCTGCTACTTCTTGTAAGGGTCTTTGTGCTATAGACTTGAGATGTTAGTTTGCTTTACCACTAACTCATTTCCTTTTAAATTTCAATTTTTACATGAGTCAGTATTTCAACTTACAAATTATTTTACTAACTGCTTAATGACCTATGAAAAAAATTGTGTTAAACCTATACATTAAATAGAGCTAAAGAAGAACATACATCACAAATTCCTGATCTTTCTACAGGTAATCATTTAGATATATATAATGAAAACAAATATCTTTCATATATCACTGCTGTGTTTCCCTTAGCTTCCCAAAGACTGACGTAAAAAGAGTTGTACTGTCAAGACCTGCTTTCACAGTTAAAATTGATGAAGTTTCCACTTTTAAAGTACATCTACTTAATCACTTCTTCCACCTCTTCCCCAGTCCTGCATATCTTAATTTAAATGAATTCTTATACAGAACAATGAAGTTTTTGTCATTTGGTATGATGGTTAAAACATGATTTTCCAAAATAATAACCTTACATACGACTGAAATGTGCAATTAACTCGTCCCCACTTTCACAAAGGCATTCCTTTCCCACTGCAAGTTCATAATTTTCTGTTCCTTGATTTGGCTTCCTTGGCAGTTTCTGATGCTTTTGTCAAAAAATGAAAACTAAAAAATGGCCTACCTCTCAAAACACGTCTGTGTACAAGACCTGTTTTTTTCAAAGGCACCACCATGAAGAAACAGAATAGTTCTCTCTGGTATGGGGAGTCAGGCACTCCCATTTGTGTTCCTTAAGACTGTTTATTTCAAGAGGATACAAAGACACAGATCTGAGTGTCTCCTGTACAAATGTAAGTGACTTAAACAAGTACACACCAGCTGGTGAAAAACACTAATTGGTTTGCTCTACTCATTGTCCAGAAGCTGCCTGGTAGAGTGAAAGATGCACTCGGTTTCCCTCGAGAAGCTCATGTACTCAAATCACCACCAAGAAGTTCAAGAACTGGCAGTGGACATTATAAACCAATGACCAAAAGTTCCCTGATTCAGTGCTGAGATTTTCTCCCAGTCAGCTTTCTGACAAAATATGTGCTCCTTTGGTGGTGACACAGAGCCACTGATGTGCAAATGTACCTTAGGACTTGCAAGGAATATTCTTGCCAGGTGAGTCACTGTCCTTAGAGTGCTGCCAGCCTCCTTCACTCAGAAATAGGTTCTTAAATATTCCACAAGAATTTTTAGTGTGTCAGTCAAGTCTGTAAAGGTGTGGTTAGAAAAATTGAAGAGAACTGGGTGCCTGCTCCCATTCTGATGTCTTTTTCCTTACGTACTATGCCAGAGAAGGGAAAAAAAAAGTAGTCATGGTACTTTGCAGATACTATTTCACACACAGGAAGAGCCAAAAGCCACTAGTTCAAAAAAAGGCAAATTATTACCATGCCTCACTGTGCACTTTTTCCCAAGTTCTTGCTGGTGCAAGCGTTAACGTCTTGTACACAGGCTTGTTGTACAGAGCATGGTTTCTACAACTGGCCTCCACCTCCAGTGCACTGCTGGGTTCTGTACCTCTCACTGGGCTCAGCCTCACTCGCTGGTGTGTAGTGAATAGCTTCTGCTGAGTCCTGCAAGGGCTGTGATTCCGAGTACAGATATCTGCCTGCAGAAGCAGCCTATGCAATCTGCTTTGACTATAAAAGTACATGGGCACACCACCCCAGCCTGAGCACAACTCTTAGCGTTCTTTTAAAATCCCAGTCAATGCAGAGGGTCCCATTTTTTGACCTTTTAGCTTCCCTTTTCAAGTCTGTGCAGCTGGCCTCATGTCCAGCAGCTGAACCCCCACCTGCTTGCTGAATCAGACTAAATGTGACATGCTGTGGTTCCCAGCATAGGTCAATAATTCTTCAAGCCAGCACACAGAAGACTGTATAGAAATTTTGGAAAGTTATTTGAGAGAAGAGTCATCTGGGTTGTATTCCCTGCTCAGTTAATTGCTTTGTAAAAGCAGAGCAACTTTACTGGGAGGGACGGAGATCCTTAATGGCAAATACACTGTAAAACCGACCCTTCTCTGGGAGAAGAACCTCAGTAGCGACCAAGTCCCAGACATCCCAGGTAAGCTTTTAAACATAGACCTAGTGATAAATCAGCACTGTGTTGCTCTCTCAGCCTTCTGAGTCTCACAAAGGAGACATATGGGAAATACATATATTTTATATATATGTTACAACATATCTAATGGCTCTGCGCTTCAGAACCTAGCTGAATATCTGCATGCTCAGCAATGGCAATGTAAACATCTGTAAGGCTAGGATTTTGTGCTCCCTACGTGACAGGTTTACATCACGCACTGTGAAGAGCAAACAGTTTAAGGAAAGCATGCCATGTCCTCAGTTGCACTGATACAGTTGTGTGCAAAGCACGGCTGTAAACCAGATTGTTGAGGTGGTGACCACTTACAAAAAGAAAAAAAAAAACCAAAACATTGCCAACCAAGCAAAAAAACCCCAAACCCACAACAAACTAGTTACCCCTTTTTTGGAGTAATTTTCAACCATATTACTTTGAAAGCCAAGTTTACAGTGCAGTATGACGAACACTTCTAACAGCACAGCTGAAGGAGCAGCAAATTTTGTTGTAAAGGACAGAAGCAATTGTCCAGCATCAGCAAAGACTCCTAAAGCCAGTTTTGCAGTTGAATCCACTATACTGTGTAACTCATTTCCCTGAAGTTATCCATAAATCCTCCATAATCACGGGAGTCAAGTTTATCGAAGGTGTTGCTTTTTTATCTTCAGATAAATGTTGCCAAGGCCTGCCATATCCACAAGATTGTCTGGGATTTTTTTCCTTTCTTTCTTTTAAATCATGGCACCAGTTGAAAAAATAAATGGATACTAAAGCTAGAATTTAAACACACTATGCCAAATTACTTTTTCCCCAAAATGCTACAAATATGCAGACCAAACAAATTTCACCTGGAATTCTAGATTCTCAGCAGTTCTGACAAGCCAGAATCTGAAAACCTGGCTCTCAATACATGTACATAGGGCACCAATTCTTATTTTTACACCTACCCACAAAGAAAAAGCAAGAGACTGAAAGAAGGAAATTACTGCACATATTCAAACAGATAAGCATCTTGTAAAATGAATAACTATACAAGGAAAATCATTAACAATAGAGCCATCTGCTGTATTTCAATAAAACTACACCAGCAAAAAAACTGAAAAATGTTAAAATGTTTTACAACCTCAATTTTTCAATATTCCATGTTACAAAAAGTGATCATGATGATTAGTACATCAGTTTAAATGACAGGAAATTACTATTACTTACACCTCTTCTAATTAAAAGCAGTATTTTACTGGCATAATACTGATCCTCTGTATCTAATGATACTAATTGGCACTGTAGCTGAGCATGTAAAGAGCCTGAAATGCTTCCCATTCCATTTGAAGTAGGTTAAGTATAGTATTGTATAAGGAGACAATGAGGTCAGTAGCAAGTTGAGTATTTATTTAGTTACAGACAAAACACTTGGATTCTTTTTTCTTGCTCTAAAATAAGAAAGAAATCCAGGTCAGAAGATCTTACAGTAAAAAAAAAAAATCAACACAAAATTGAGGGAAAGTTTAGAAGACAGACTAACCCAAGCGGTTTTTAGTGTATCTTTACACATCTTTCTACCAACATACTTGAAAAGCCCTCTTTCAAGCACAGTGGAAGAAGCAGGTGTTTAGAATAGAGTTCAAAGAACATAGTCTTATCAGCCAGTTCCTAGTTTTGCATCTTAAAGCTGGCATTCAAACATATCCCTAAAATTCTGGTTAAACTATGGAAAAGCATACCAGAGCAGGCCCAAAGCTGCCCAAAGCAGAAAGAATATACTGCTGTACATCAGGGCTCGAATGGGTGCTTTGCTGCATTCAGTTTGCAATGGCTATAACTATACAAAAAAGTAATACCTACAAACTATACGCAGCCCCCCAAAACTCTATCCTGCTCATGGAAATGTGTTTATTAGCTGAAAGGTTCAGGGTAAAAGACAGACTTCTAAACATCAGCTCAGATGCAACAAAGTGTTCAAAGACAGAGAAGACCAAACAACTTTTGAAATGTCAATTAATTGCTGGTAGTGAGTGCTACTGATTTTAAATGTGCCAGTTGAAACCAGTTATAATCAAGCCCATCCCAGCACCTGCTGGAGCACATGGTACTCTTACCCTTGATGTATGTCCAGTGCAGCTGTTTCACAAATCGCATGTTAACAGAGGTGGTTAGAAGAAGTGAACGCAAACCAGAAACAAGAGCTGTCAGCATGCTGTCACAGGAAAGTTTCCCTGCACTTAAAATAAGCTTATGAGCCATCTACCTATACCACATCTGCAGCTCACCACAATTGCTTGGATAGTGTGTGTATCTGCCCCAGATGTATATATCCCAATTAAATACACCAAGGATCAGACATTTAACAACAAATATTTGTTGCTATGAATTTTGTCATTTAGCAGTTTTAAGCGTTATTTAACATTTCATGCAGTTTTTGTCAGTTACACACAAGTGGCACTTTATTACACCTGCAACTTCAGTAATCGCTGCATAACAGCTTTTGCCTACTATCGACAAAACTAAACTTTGGCAACTGGAATTTTTTAAGCTTTGTAAATAATATAGCAAAGACATTCTTAGCTTAAAAAAGAAAAACACATATATTTACCTGCCATCATAGCTATCATACTGGCTTTGTAGACATTAGCAAGGGACCCCAGTTCACCTGTTGCCAAGATTGTTTTCATATGAGCTTCTCCACAGGCCTCACGGCACTGACAGATCTCCTTGTAGAGACCTGTGGATAAAAGCATGTGAAAATGATCAAAGTTGCCTGAGAGACATTTTCAAGTATGACTGTAATTTCCACTTCTAGATTAATTTCCAATCTTATAATTAGTCATAGCACTCAAGAACTTAAGTTTTGCAAGTTCAATAAATTATATGACTGGAGATAATTAACAATGCCACACAGTTTCAGACTTAACTTAATAGCTATTAATGTCGGTTCTCTCAAAACTAAGAATGTGCACGGTACGCCAAACACTCATGAATACATCAGGAGTAAAAAATGCTATGATAGTCAAGATTGATTTTAAACAGCTTTCTCAGCAATAAATACAGTAGTACACTGGATCAGTACTCAGGGACAGTTACATTTTCCTGTTCACACCATACCATCACTCTTGCTGTCCCCTTCAGCCACATTTGCCAAAGGGCTTAGCCTAAAAGACACCAAAGGTGTGACCAAGTTGTCTAATGACAAACACTAGTGCCACCTGAGATGCCCTGACATGCCCCAAGGCTTCCAGCTGCCACTCCTGGAGGTTCTTCATCTTCCTTCAGTCTCCTACCTTTCGCCCTAGTACCATAGGACCATCTTGGGAAGTCTGATTACGGAGCTAGACGCCTGTGCTTAGGAATATGAATCCCACTTTAAGCTTCTTGAAAATAAAAATTGCCTGAAAAAAATCTAGTTGGTCTCATAACATCCCTGGTGAAGAGAGACCAAGGCTTGGGATCATACCCCAAGGACCAACAAATCTGCAGGGATCTATGTTTACAAACCACTTCAAGTGGTTGCATTGCCCACAAGGTTACTGTGGACTTGGAACATCCTGTGCCATGACCTCAAATCACCATGGTAAGGGTGAAGGAAGCACTGTGGCAAGAAAGTCAGCAGGACAACACCTGCCTAGCATGCTCTGGAGCTACAGCTCTAAGGGCAGCAACTGGACCCTTGCTATTGATGTCCATACTCCCAAAGGAAGCTGTCTGAATTTCAGGAAGGAGGTTTATCATAAACCACTGTTACACACACAAGCACTGCCACTTGCACTGACACAGACAGCAGGACTGACATATAAAGCCTTTTAGATTAGAGATAAACCAGACCATTATCTCTGTATCTTCACATCACTTGGAAAACAAAAAGCAAACCCTGCTTCTAGTTGCCCCTCCCTCCTAACAGAGAGCTCTACAGCCTCTGGAGGGTCTCTTGCTGTAAGTCCATCTTCTGACTTTCAGTTCCCCTTAGCTTTCATCTCCAAGCAGTTAGCCTGTCTCCAAGGCAAACCAGCACATGTCCCAGCTGCTCACTGCTTCTCTGTGAACTGCTACCCAAGCAGCTGGCCACTGGCTGCAGCCAGGGAGAAGCAGGGACAAGGAGGACAGGCCAGCATTTGGTTGCTCATGAACACTGTCCAGAGAAGACCACTCTCTCACAAACTCCTCCTTTCAGATTTACAAAGGCATACTTAACTTTCTAACAGCTTCCTATTTTCACAGATTCAGTAAGGATTGGAATGCATTTGGACATAACTGACTATGTTTTTTAAAAAATACTACAACTTGCAGACCTGGGCAGGTAATGCAACATGGGAAGCACAGGGAAACACTCCCATCCTTTTTTTTTTTTTTTCTTTTTTCAAAATTCACCAGTGCTCCAACAAGATTTTGAACAGGAAGATTAAAATAGGTAGGAATTATCAAAACATAGGTGTTACAAGCTGGCCACTTGGGGATGACTAAGACTCATTCAGTGTTAATGGTGGGGAGAAGAGCAGCTCTTACAATGTACAGTCACCATTTCTGGGATTTGAATTTAAAAAAAAAAAAAAAGACAAAGTAAGCAAACAGGATCCTTTGCAAGACAGTCCTTATCACAAATTGTATTCAATCTTCAAACATATAATTCAAAAGTTTGTTTATGTAAGGCTAAAATACAGCTTTAAACCAAACCTTCTTGCTAAAAATGTCTAGGATATGGTTATGAAGAGTAATTATTTTTTTTTTCAGCAACACTAGCTTTATTTTCCCCTCAGTCCTCAGGCAAGAGCTGGAAACACACAGTAGGGGTTGCCAGCTGCCATACGGCTGGACCTCTGCTCCATCCATGATGCTGTGGCATCCTATTAATGCCATCGGCACACCAGGCGGCTGGGATTGCTGAGATCACTGGGGTGGTCCTCTGAGACGTACTACGTACATTAGTAGACAACTGGCTAATGCACTTAGCAAGTCCCTTTATAGACATCAGGCTTTACCTTGTCTCTTACTGTGTACCAAAGGTGTGAATTAATCAGTACTAGCATGCAGTCTAACATGTTTTATTGATCAATTGATGATACTCAAGAAACCGACATCAAATCGAGACTGAAAAAGGAAATACAAAGAACCTGTGCTATTTTCTTGTGCATTTGATAACACTCCTCATGTTAGATCGAAATGCAGTCTCTTTCTGTGGAGTGACTCTTTCCTGAAGCATTTGGAAAGCCAAAGAAAGCAGCTTTCATGTTGTTCTAATTTCAGTAACAAGAAGAAAAGACTAAAGTTTCCTCTACCTTTAAGATACACAGACTACATCAGTGAGCATCTGGCTCCAAATACATTCTACATAAGTTGGCTTGCTTTGGGTATTGGTTGGTTGGTTTGTTTGCTTGCTTGCTTGATTTTCCTGGCTTAAGACTTAAACTTCTTTTAGAATGGATAGTGTTGGCGTGCTGGTGCTGTGTTCAAGATGTCACGCAGTATTGGCTACTTGCTTTGAGAGTTGTTGATCATCTTGCCCCTGATTTTAGCAGTCAGGAGAATCTCTTGCACCCTCTTCATGGCAGTCTTTGCTCACAGCTGAAAACACATCTGCAGGGTCTTTTGTGACAGAGGTTTTTCCCAAAAGCTTTCTGCCACTACTGCTAACCAGATAAGCAAATGTCAAAATAAAATCAACAAAACATACATTTAGGTTGGATTTCACGAAGAGAAATCATATGCCCATAGCTGCTGTTCACTGGAGTTAGTACTGCAGCTACAGCATCTTCCCTGTTGTGGGAAGGTACATTTCTATGCAATTAGTACTGAGATCATTTGAACAGTCTCACTATCTGACAGCACACATCAACCCACAGGCAAGAACAACTGAGGATCTTCAATCATCCCTGCCTACGAGACTAGCTGAGATGGTGGAAATGTGGGCATACTTTAATGGGGCAGATGTGTAGGTAATAAATGCTGCTCCTTATTCAGAGATCAACTGCTGCAGACAATGCATGGCATTCACAGGACATTCTCAATCCTACAGTAAAAGTACAAATAGAAACGCAACTACCTCTGGAACAGACAAAATTAACCAGAGCACTCCAGTACCAGTACAAGCAGGGACTGCTTTGATACAGAACAAGCACAAAAACTCCAAACGGCCAATACCACGTAGCATCTTTAACACAGCATCAGCACACCAACACTATCCATTTTAGAAGAAGTCTAGGTCTTAAGCTAGAAAAAGAAAGCAAGAAAAAAAACCCACAAAAACCAAACCCGAAGCAAGCCAACTTTTGTAGAATGTATTTGAAGCCAGATGCTCACTGATGTAGTCTGTAATAGCTTCACTGACTTAGTTGTTAAAATGCATGTGACATAAGAACTCTTCTAATTTGTACCCACTTACTTAAGATACCTTGCTGCTTTCATGAACTTTAGATCTGCTTTTATTGGACGTATTTATTAAAGTAAGAAAAATTCATATTGCATAGGAACCAAAAAAATACTTTAATGGCTATGGTTTTAATTCCACTCTTATAAAAGATAAGTGTTGCACGGTGGCTTTTTTGTAGTTTTCGTAAAGTCTAACTATGAAGTACAAACATTACATTGATTTTTCACAGCTTTAAATGCACCACAGAAAACACTCCTCCCCCTAATACATCTCTCAAGCAAACATCTCTGACAATTACTGCTGGCTATAATCTGCCCTAGATTGTCTAGATGGCCTTTTGCTTTGGTCTAATACATTTGTCCTAAAAAAATCACATAATAAAGGGGATAATCCCTATCTCCTACATAGGAAATGAAAACATTAAGGGGAAAAAAACACAGCTTAAATTTTTATAAAACAGCTCTCCTCCAAATATGTGGTGATAAAAACACTTTTTTTTCTTTTTTCTTTTTTTAAATTCGGCTTATTTGCTGTTTTTGTCTAGCCAGCCACATTGACTGATGTTAAGGGTAGAAACTGAGACAAGGAGGGAAGATGTTTCAATTTCTGTTAGACCAAAAGATCAAGGTAATCATGATGAGAAACTGGAAAATAAGCTGGAATCCCTTCTGTCTTGCACATTAATGGCAGGTTTGTTAACAAAATGACAAGCACAAGGTTATCAGCACAACACAACTCTTTCAGTTCTGCTCTCAGCCACATATGTGCAACTCCAGGCTCCAGCGATTCACACTAAACTGCAAACAGATCCTGGCTTCAGGAGTCTGAGCTGCTGCTGACAATATAAGAAAGATTTTGCAACTAGCCTTTGAGGTTGCAAGTCAGCTTGTGCATCTAGAAGACAGTAAATTCAGTTTCTGAACAACATGTGGAGAAAGTTTCCAAGTCTTTGGAGTGGGGGGTGTATTTTCCCTGCCCTGTTTATAAGGTATGTAGCACAAAAGGGGGCCCCAATCCCTGAACAGAGCCTCTAAACTCACAGTTGAATAATTATTAAGAAGTCAAAGGCAGCTTTCACTACGAGGTTATATCTAATGTATTTCATGGATGTAGCTGTGTTAAAACTTGTTAGAGTATACTTCTTTTTTTCTGTTTTCTTCTAGGAAACTTCAACTGACATAAAGCAACGGAGAGGTTATCAAGAGCTCTGAAGCCACTGACACTGTGGTATATCCAAACGTCGGCTAAAAGCTGTGGAACTAGAAATAACGTTACAGTACACCAGGCAGCTTCTGAAGGTACAGCAAGTCCAACATATTCATTGATAACAGGGTGGGGGAGGGAAATCCTGTTTCTTTCAACAATTTGTTGGTCAGCTTCATCACTCCTTACAAACAGGCTCCACATTCTGGGCTTAAAGACACTAAATTGTGATTTTTAGGCTTAATACCCACTTTGTTGAGTGATACAAGACAGTGGTTGAGTAAACTATTGTAAAATAATATTGCTCTAAAAGCTACTAGGTTGTAAAAGGTATACAAGTTCATAAACTTAAATCTCATTTAATATTATTTTCAAAGCTAAATTAACTGTCCAATAAAGCTGCTTTCATGTTCAGCACTATTAAAAAACTCTTTAAGAATTACTTTGTAAAGATCTAGAAAATACATTCAGAGTGCCATAAAGAGTTCCAACAATATTTAAGACTGCTTTAAAATAACTTGACATAATTGGACATACGCTAAAATATTTAATAACCAGGCAAGCCTTTGAAACAAATCACAAAGCAACACTATTCTATTATGGTGACCCCAATTATTGCACAGGCTAGAAGAAAAGCTAAGAATATATGAACAGTAAAGTAAAGCACTCTACCACATATGTATTTTTGTCCATAACTCCTGAAGTTGTGAAGACAGGCAGCATGAGAAAATAACAATAAAAATATACTAGCGCTATAAGTATAAGCAGAGATTCTGTCATAACTGCAAGGCAGCTCTAGTTGATGAAGCACCTTGAACACAGGCATAGTTACTGCACTAGACTTCTTCAATTTTATGTAGAAATCCAGTCTAAAAAAACATTTCTTCATCCCTTCTAGCTTCTTTAAACGCACTTTATACATTGTTGTGTATCGCACCTAATCATTTGATAGAGGTGGAAAGCTGCATGTTCAGACAGGTAACATACATCTATTGAAAGCTAAATAAATAGATTTTCACAACTAAAATATCCAGACTACCTACTGAAGTAATTTTTGTGGATGGGCAAGTTAAATATTAGAATTTTTCACCCTGTAGCATCATTATTTGGATGGCAAGTAAATTCTGTTCCTGAGACAGCTTTTTTCAAGACCATGTAAATATCTGCCATATACAGATTCACATTCATAAACCCACTTTCAGAAAACGCTTGGAAATAATTTCAATTCTGCCCTCAGTACAAGAAATGTAAACTAACCATTGCCAAAAAAAAGGATGGATTTAAATCTTGTCATGACTTCAGCTGAGGATAAAAGAACATGCATGCCAATCAAAAGTCATCCCTAATTTATTTATTTAGTAAACTGACAGTGTTATACTACATCCATCATTGCTATGTCTGTATACTCCTCCCCTGTAATTTATGACCACAGAAAACAATGTTTCCCATATAGAAAAACCTAGCAATGTAAGTCTGGTTTCTTTCAATCACTGATACAAACTTTCTCTCCGAATCTAGCCCTGCACTTCTCCTCTTGAGTTCTCCTTTGTGTAATCCTAGGTAACATAACCTTGAGCCTGCATTTGCAACTGCCTGCCTGCAATGACTTTCTGCTCTATGCAACTCCCGCTTAACACTGGGTTTGTACCATGAAGTCTGAAGCACAGTAACCACAATTATGTCAGAAATTGCTACAAGACAGACTTTTTCAGCCACAATTGCAAGTTACTGCTCAAGTCCAGTTTATTGGTGTTTTTTTAAGTCTTGGTGACAGACCACTTACTCAGCTCATTTTGTGTCCAAAACCTACACGTGTTTCCAGTGCAGCGCAGCTCCTGGACAGGGTACCTGCTTTGTAGACCATAGTGTAGACCCTAACAAAGATACAGGATAGGAAGGTGTGCATGTAGTCTTGCTGCCAGCTGGTACAGAATTTCACCACCACTCTATCTTACTTAAAACCACTCAATCCAATTGAAACCCAGTCTTCAAATTCTAGCAATTTCTGGGGCCATATTTGAACTTAAAATAGGCACTCTAAAAGAAACAAATGTCTGTGACAATACCTATCCTCAGGAAGTCAAATATTAGTAAGTCTGCATATATTTAAGAGCAAAAGAATGGAGGATATTGGTCCTGAAGACACAGATGTAGAAACTTGTGTTTTAGTTCAATTCTAACTGCTAATTGAAGACCAAAATCTGAAAATATGATTTGTTACCATGATGACTGTATTTCCTTAACGAAACCCAGGTACCAGGGGTCCTTTGTGGAGTCTTCCAAGCAAACAGACTATTACGGCAATGCATTAAACAACTAAATGGAAAATTTATTCCAAGACAATGATGTGTTTACCTTTACATGGAGATTAGTTATAGGAGCATTGTCAGCACTTAAGGCAAGCCATTCACAGTACATTAAGGAGGCAATTAGAGCAAAAACCATCTTCAGCGTTATTGTTCTTACTAATTAGTAGTAGTCTACAGGCACAAGAACATCAATAATAATATGAACAGGCAATTTGTACCTTCAACTTTCAGGGGAAAGAAAACAACTAAAATACATATTTTTGTCAAGTTTTGAAACATGTATATTTAACAAGGTATCATCTACATTAGCAGCCCCTTGGGGGTTTTAACAAAACTGTTCAAATAATTAGACCATAAGCATTCACTTCCATTTCACTTTCTATTTTTTTTAATCTTGTACACAAAATCCTCTAAAGGCGCAGAAGGAACAGACCCAAATTTTCAAAACACAAAGTCATTCTGAATACCCAACCTGACAGAACTTGCAACAGCATTCTTTCAAAAAACATCTGATCATTAGTCATACATCAGTTAAATATTTGTTATTTATTTCAGTGCCCTGGATTATCAGCCACTCTTAGGGCAAGGACCAAATTCTTCAAGGACTGATGTGGAGACTGGGGGAAGAAACAAAAAAAGAACACATGCATATACACAGGCTTAGGTTGCTTGCCAAAGGGTGGGTACTTACCTTCCCACTGGCCAGTCAGCACCAGACTCCTGCTAATGACAATGTCAATCTCTCTGGCACCATACTCCACAGCTAGCTTTATTTCAGCCAGTTTGGTTTCCAGAGGAGTTTGTCCAGATGGAAACCCAGCAGCCACTAACAAGAATGAGAATGCAGGCAGAGGGAAGAAAATAAAATACAAATTGAACATAAAATTTGCAAATACCTCTAATACACCAAAGAGTTTGAAAGTTATTCCTTTTTAAATCTCCACCACAATTCAAAAAATCTAAAGGCACCTCATCCTACCCTCTCTTTATCCACAAGAAGCATTTGTTCTTCCCTCAAGAACCTGTCTAGCAAGATACTAAGTGCATCTTGCAAAAAGGTCTCTTTCACATGCGTTAATTTTTTTCCAAAGCAGTCTGCAGAAGAAAACACAGCATCTATTGCCTCCAGCAGAATTGAGCAAACAAGGACTGAACTCCTATATGAAACAATACATAAATTTTTCATTCTCTCCAATTCTTTTAAGTAGTATTTCAAGTTAAATCCCAGTAATATGTTTAACAGCAAAATCACAATACAGCATGAATTGTTTTCAATGAGGTTTACTTAAGATTACCTTTATGATGTTTAAGTACAAAACCCAAAGCTAATCTGGAAATGGAAGAAATAATGACAAAGAGGAGGTCTGACAAAGAGATCTTCTTTCTCTTTGATATATAAATGCATAGTATGTATTCCTCCCTACACAACAATGAAACAATAACAACAACAGCAAAAAATCAGAACCAGAAAACATGGATCTTAGCATTAAACATCTAATCTAACTTCAAAGTCAGCCCCTGCTTTGAGCAGGAGGTTGGACCAGATGACATCCAGAGCTCCCCTCTAACCTGCATAATTCTTTGATTCTCCTTCTTGCTTATTGTTGATTCAGGACTTGTCTGTGCTGTGTGGCAACTGGAGAAGAGCTGCCACTATTAGATTTGTGAGTACAAGTCCTGAACCTGCGGGCTGCTCAGCAGGCAATAACCCTTGCCTTTGCACACAGTTTCATTGAATTCAGCTTGTAGGATCATACTTAAAAGCCAAACAACTGATAGGGAAAAAAATTTATATTAGAACTCCTCAATCCTCATATTGTACTTGTAATATTATTACCATATACTTAGTGTCTACTGATACTTTGTCCTGCACACTATTGCAATTTCTATTCAGGTGAGAGAAATGCTGATAGATCACAAGGAGCTCTTTGAAGAGCTTCCAGCAAAACAGACGTGGCATTGCTGATAAGCCTGAAGTTGAAAGAAAACAAAAGATTATATCAGAAACAAATCTTCCTCTCCATTCCCTTTCTTCCACCTGCTACCTTTTTACCTTACTGTCTGAAACAAAAGTGAGTCCAAACTTCTGGACTATTCTCCATATTTTATAGCATCCAAATATTTAACAGGATATTTTAGAATAAAACGTACCTGAAGCTACTGGTATGTTACAACCTGCAGCCTTTAGGGCATTAACAGCATCTATGACTCTTGCAGGATACACACAAACCGCTCCGACAGTAATACCTGCAAAAAACACAGTTCACTTTTCAGATGTATAGATGTCCACCTTCTCTAGTGTGATCCATTTTGGGAGCATATATGCATTGTTTGCTCCTTCCACTTCTGTATTCTTCCAAGGATTTTAGGCACCTTCATGAAGTTTTATTCTTCAAGTACTTCAGGTGATTATACTGCTACCTCCCTCACGTTTCTTCACCTGATCGCGGGAGCAAGTTTGCATTAGCAGGAATAAAAACACTAAGATATTTATCAACAGATTCACTGTTTAATGCTAACATGTTTAGTTAAGACATACTTAGTCAGCAAATTGCTATGAGACAAACCGCACTGCCAAGCTCTGTCCTTACTTTTCAAGCCAGACTGACCCCAGTAGCAACTAAGCAGTCTTTATGTTAATGCAGTCCTACTGCATTCCTAGTTAAAATGCTATTCTCTCAATGTCTCAGATAATTGACCTCATTTAATACTTCAACTGAAGTCTGAAGTGTCCATAAGTCTAATTTTTTTAAAAAAGACTAATCTTTGATATTTTATGTGTATGGCTTAAAACCAGAGGCCTGATTGTCTTTTGGTTTTACATCATATGACTTGAATCGGTGGACCAATGCCCATGTAAAACTGAAATATTTCAATAGTAAAAGCATGGCCCAAATGTCACTAAGATTTTGTTTCTGATAGATTATCATAAGGTCTACATGACAGGACAAAAGTCAAATGCTATTCACCAACACATTAGTGATTACATGTGGAAAAATTCAGAAGAGCTGCTACGATATAAAGGGGTTTTATTAATAGTTATATTGACAGTCTCAATTTGCTCTTAAGTTGAATCATGTTCAGTCTTGAGTATAACATTGGGACTTCAGATGGAGCCTTCTTGAGTAATATCAATGAAATTTTTACCACTAGTTCTTAAGGGCTGTTTTCTGCCCCTTTCACTCTGTTGACTTAGCTGGGAAGCGTGGGTGTAGAGTTGTGGGTGAGTGGGTTTGTATACATGATATTCACACAACCACATAGCCACCCACTACAGGACTGATTCCCTATAGTAGACTGGGCTGAAAAGGTGTCTCCTATCTTAACTACTCAAACAAGCAACCGACAGATAATGTTTTCTGAAGTAAAAATAACCTGCTTAGGACTGTGGAACGCATCTTTTCTGACAGACAAAGTGGCAGACTCAGTATAGAGCAACCTCATCTAAGCATGAAATCCAAGGAGTCACAAGAACACTCTCTCCTTCTCCAATTTAGTAAACACATCAACAGATCAGCAGCAGACTCAATTAGTCACCTTAGTGCCCTGTTACTAAAAGACATACACTGAGCCACACACTTGTGGCTTTCATATCAAATTTGCTCATCAGGTACAGTGTCACCCTGAATGTATGCTTCACTTTGGTTGCCAAACTGAGAATGGATTTTTTTCTCTTTGTATTCTTATATTAATAAAAAGGAATAGATATTTTGCAGACAGAACTTAAGACAGTTGCTTTGAATAAGACAATATAGAACCCAGTTTCCATATAGGACCAGCTTCCATTACAGGAAGAGTTATGGAACCTATCTGAAAATTGAGAAAATGCTGAGGAAGTACAGACATTTTCTCTACACAACACACACAACAAAACCAACCATACCTTTATCATGCATATCCATGGCTTTCAGCAGATCCTCTCTGATGGGATGCTTTGCTTTAAAACACAGTCTGTGAACATTTGAAGGAGTATCATCGCCTGAAAGAGTGGTAAGGTCTATGCAGGTGACAGCTTTCAGCAGCCAAGCAGCCTACACAGGGAGTGAAGAAATACAATATTTCATATGCTTCCAAAACCAAACTGACTTAGAAGATATGTGAGGATGTGAGGATCCTCACTGTTATTATATGCTCTGTTCTGTATAGTATGTCTCTATCTTTAAAGCTTGCATGCACCAAAAATTATACATAAACTTCAAGAGGAGCCTTTGTCTGCAATTACCAATATGCAGATGAGTGTACACATCAGCAATTTACACACTTGCATGTTTGCATGCTTTTCCTGCTGTGAGAGTGAAACAAGGAATTAGTCTGGGGTTAAAAACCCAGATTTCTTAAAACTTAGGGTCTAGACTCCAGATGTTTCCACTTTCTTTTGTGTAAATCTGGAATAAAACATCTGTAATTATTTGGTGCAAAGAACAAAAGCATGAGCTAAGTGACAGGGCACTCTTTAGATGAAAATGCCGCAGAATTTTAAAAGTCTTACTAATCAGAGAAAGGAAGAGAAGAACTAAAATTTTTTTGAGACTTCTTGCTCCACAAAAGTTGAGCTTAAGACATTATTTTGAAATATTTGTTGAAAGTCTTTCAGCAAACTCTCATTTCACTAAATGCTGATGTCTCTTAGTGGGCACTTGCTCAACAAGGGGACAGTTTGCAACAGCAAAGTCCACTTGAGTCCATAAAGTCCCTTCCTGAGAGCACTGCTCTGTGACACGATTTGTCAGTATAGGCAGCAAAATTTGTTGTTTCTTCACATAGTACTCTGCAAATCTTAAGATGCCGGCCAGCTTAGAAACCTTTCACACTCTGCTGATAGGAGTCTCCCTTCTGTTTCACACTGAAAGCTACTTTGGCGTGACTAAACAGAATCATGAACAGTTACCGGCCTCTGTTAGTCTAAGCTTGTCTGCTTGTTTCTAACTGATTTCTGCTTTCAGCCTATTATACTTCAGAAGGGTTTTTCACTTTAAATGGTTTTAAGTTTCTTTTACTCGGATTTTTTATCCTTCACTCGAGGGAATTTTTGTCTCATCTCTTATGACATGAATCATAAAGTCATCAAGACAGATGTAGTCAGGGAGTTCCAAGAACTGGTATGATCTGCATTTTTTAAAAAAGGGTTTTTCAACTGCATATTTTGGGAAATGGGCTTCAAAACTGGAATCTGTGGTGCTACTTACATTGAAACATGTAAAGGTTCAAAATAATCTCTGTGAAATAAACGGCATATGACTATCCTGCAATGGCAATGTTCAAATACAGGTGCTTCTGGAATTCTTTAAAATAAAACCTCACTTGAGTGGCTCAGTACCAGTGTCACTACACAGGAGAGGGGAGAAGTGTCAATAATTAAACATTTGTCCTACAGCCATATTGAGGGAGTGACACTAAATCCATTTCTTCCCAATGATTCTTTGTAATCAAAGCCTGCGGCTTTCTATTCTTTTGTTCTTTACATAGTAACTTCTGTCAAATCAGAAGACTTACTTTTTACATTACTGCATCTGCAGTATTTAAAGATAGCCAAGGTTGTGGAATAACCTCTGGATTTTCTTACTGACACTATTTCCCAACTCGGAGCCACTGGACTGCTAAACTCGGTATCAAGTGACTTTTTATGTGCAACAAACTCTTGGGAAATGCTGAGCTGATGTCTACCTTTCCTCAGTTTATGTCCATTCTTTATTTAAGCATAACATTCAAGCCACATTCTTACACAGCTACATCAAATTATCCCCAAGCTGCTGTCCGCAAGATCTGTGCTCATCGCAAACGCAGCTTCAGCCACCCCAGAATGGCTGCCCAACATGCTAAGCTCCGGATGTCAACTATTTCAATTTATTTATTCAAACACCTTTTTTAAGAATTAAGTATAATTAAATGATTCTTGCTTTGTTCTATTATATTGCACTGTTAAGACAGAGCCTTTATTGTCTCCTTCCTCCCACTTCCAGGTTTTTAGTTATTGTTGCAAGTAAACTATTTGTTTAGCATGCAGAGGGGACAAATGACACGCATTTGCCTGCAGAACAGCTGTTGGGTGAACAAAAACTTGTCCTTTGGACATTGGTTACAACCTCACGGCTGAGGGCTCACTGGGAGCTCTGGGTCTGCTCCACCACTGGGTCTATTCTCAGACCTTGCCCTTGGCTGAACATGGCCACGGTGCTTACGGCATCCTGCAGCCAGCTCTGCCTGCTGTTCTCCTTTCAGTGCTTCCTGTCCTGTTGCTGAGACAGCAGAAACCAGCACATGGCCATGCCTCACCTGCTCTGCTTTGCAGAACATATTAGCTTATGTGGCTGACCCGATGGCTTTGCATTGCAATTCTCATGTACCCAATGGAGAACCCAAAATGCACACTGCGCCAGTATCTGCCAGTCCTGCCGCGGGGTCAGTAAACAGCAGAGGTTGACAGTATCTACTAAGACATTCCATGTGTGTGTTCAATTAATACAGGATACCTTGAAGAAAAGTTCATTTGCACCACTAGCTTTAACGATGGCTTACATGAACCTATTTTACACTAAGTACACTAACTTTACACTATTTTACACTAACTTTTACACTACTGGACAAGAACTAATAATTTCTCTTATCTCAGGAATTGAGAAGACAGATCCCTTAGCATTAGTAGCCTCTTTTTTTCTTTCCTTTTTTTTTGTTCTCCTTTGTTCTCCCCCAGTGCCATAGCCAGTCAGGATTTTTTGAGTTTTAGGTAAGAACTAGTTAAGCAAAGAAATCACACATGTTGGGGATGTTTAAGTAAAGAAAAATCATCCAGGTAGACCAAACTTGACAGGGACCATGATCATATCTTACAGTTTTAAAATTAAAAAATAAGAAGGCAGTGTGCAGAGAAGTCTGTCTGGGAAACAGAATAAATGTGGTGGGATAGTAATATACAATTTAATCCACTCATGAATAAAGATGACTTAAATTCATTTGCGGTTTTGCCACTCATGAGTTATAAGGTTTTTAACTTGTTTGGATAAATGCCTCACCTTATTCCATCCCACCATCATCAAATACAAATTATTTAAATAAGACATGGACAAGCACATCTTTTAAGTTTACATGCATCTTGAAAAAAATTCAATATTGCAGCCTGGAGAGGGAGAGTGACTGCTTTAAAAATACAGGAACAGAATGCATAAAAAGAGCACTTACTTGCCAATTACCTTTCACAGTTTTCCATTTTTTAATTCGTTCTGCATGCCTCACAACTGCAGGTCGATTCACATGCACTTTTGAGATCCAGCCAAGTTCTGTGGTGGGAAAAAGAGAAAGGAAAAGATTCTCAGCTATTTCTGTGTTCTTTTAATATACTGTGTGGGACTTCAGAAGAAAGTCATAGCTTGGTTTTGGACCTCTGAAGAATATGTTGTGCTTTTATGTCCTTTTAAGGGTTTGCATATTCATAACCAGTCCAAAATATCATAATAGCACTAACTTCTGTTAGGGTATCATCTGTGAACTGCATGTTTCACACACCATGTTTTGTTTGCCATTACAACTGAATGAACTCACTGCTGATGAGAGACACTATGTTGCCTGTCCTGGACTATGAAGTTTATTTTACATGTAGCATATAAAAAGGCCCCACAAAACAGCCTTCTATCGTTGCTTGCTGATTTACACCTTGATTCCAGAATATGGTAACATTTATTCAGTCCTTTGTTTGTCTGCTGGCAAACAGGATACAACACCATTTTTGTGTGCATGAACCTTTGTTTACAGGAACTGTACTCCACACAGTTACCAAAACGTCTGGACAGACCTTTGCATAACAAAGCATTTGAGCTGTTATTGTCTAGAGGTAATTTTCCTGAATTTGCTACTAAAGCCTGACTAACTGCAAGTTTCCAAAACCACTGAATTCCTGGGCAACACACCTGCCTGAAAACTGTTGAGATGCGCGTATTTTTGGGAAGTACTCACATTGTTGAGCACGCTGGAGGACTCAGGGCAACATCCTCAATGTGTGAATTGCTTCAGATGCCTGCCTGCAGACAGCCTGGCTCCCAATTTCAATGAGTTCCAGTATCCATAAACAATAACCAGGCTCAAAGAAAAGTGGATACTCAAATGTTTACTAAAATAATGTCACTATCTAAAAACAGAAGTACCAAAAATTGGACACTGCTTAACGAAGGGTAACTGAGTGATAAAGAAGTAGTCAGGGTTCAGGTCCTTGAATCTTGAAATTTTTGCTTAGTCTGATAAACCAAAAGCATAATTTTGCATGTTAATGAACAAAAACTGCTCACAGAAGTACACAGGAAAAAGATCATCTTTAAAATCTCTCATATCCCAAAACACAAATAATTCTACTAAATACTAATCATATAAGTAATCCATGAAAATACTATGAAGACAACATCAACAATCATTAACTACCAACCATCAGCAAATCACCACCATCAATCATCAAATAACATCATCAGTTAAGGACAGTATATATATTTGGACACGGGTTCAGATACTAAGAGATAATAATTCTGCGTGACTCAGTTTTTTAAGAGCATCTCATCTCTATCAGTCTTCTCCATCACTGTATTAAACTTGCATTTCCCTCAAGCACATTGATTAAAAAAGATTTAAAACTTTTAAAAAAGCCAATACCCAAAATCGCTACTTTTGTACAGAGGTCTTATCCTCAAATTTTTTTCTTCCTATTTTATAGTTTTAATAACCCCAAAAAAGTGCAGAACTAATATACTACCTAAAGTATGTGTAAATACCAGCTTGTTTTTCTAATTAGACTTACAAAAAGATCTAGAGAAACCAATTCAGGGTAAAGATGACTCCGTGAAAAATGCAGGACAAAGGCATGAAACACAGCTAAACGAAATCTTGTTGAGTACAGTAAGCTACCATGCAAGCAGTTTCCTGTAACAGAAGTAATCAAATGAGCAGTACCCGCAAGGTCAAAATGTTGGCCAAAAGCAAAAAAAAAAATTAAACCAATGAAGGATTTTCTAAGGAATTTAAAGATTTCTTTAATACTTTAGCATCAGACTCACTGTACAGCGAAAAAGAAAAGGAGGAACTTGCAAAGTTGCAAACCAGTTGAACAACAAACCTTCATTACTCCTATCCACTTTCAAACACACTGGCTTACCCATTCTGCCCCCAAAGCAAGAAACTCAACCAACGTGTAGAAAGCAGATGAGAAAAGCTATTGCTACAAAACCCATGGCTAGATCTTTCCTTCTTTTTGAATATCAATAAATACAAGCCATATAAACACAGAAAGCTGAAATATAAGCTAGTGAATCCTCTACATGAAAACTTTGCTGTTGGTTTAAGGTTGAGGCTCCTCTTTGATCAGCAGAGAGCATACATCACTTCTCATGAGGCCATTATAGGCAATATATGAAAAAGTCCACAGAAGAACATCCATAAATAACCAAATAAACAAAGGAAACACAAACTCTGTGTTGTGATTCTCCCACTATAAGCCAAATGTTCAGGTGGAATCATTTAATCATAAACCAATTTATCAAGATAACTTTTGAACCCTACTGGGGTCCCTTTTTGTTCCTTTGCAAAATGTGATAAAATCAAAGCGAGCAGTTTAGATGAGGTACTCAGCTTTTTGCTAATACAGATCCAGAAGCTTCAGTTACCCTATCCTAACCTATTATTTCTACTTTACGAAAAAAAAAACCAAGAAATCAAACAAAAGAATTAATTTATAAAAACTATTACCTTATATAAAAGAGTTAGGAAGACTATGGAGATAGCATCCAGTTTGTTAAACATGGAAAATTTTCATCACCTTTGTTCTTGGGACATAAGCCTTAATTTAAGTGAAAGAACCAAAATTTCCCCCATGTGTAGGATAACACTTCATTACTTATTATTTGAAGCAGATCCAGTCTGATTAATCTTGTGCTGAACCTAGGGAGAAACTACTCTTACTGTATCTGCCCCTGACTTTTAGGCACAGCTTCTCAGAAGGTCCCAGTAATCTCTGCAAGCAATGGAGCACTGCACACCAGATTAGCTTGGAAAATATAGTCAAGTGTAACACCTTTTGTGGTGGGGGTGGGTGGTTGGGGAAGTAATGCTTAAGAAATTCATAATCAATGGAAGAAAAGAGGGGAAAGAATAGGGGAAGTGAAAAAAACTCAAAAAAGCTACTACTTTTGCAAACTCATCTTTGCCCAGTCACCTGTAAAAGTTATCCTATATCAGCTGATCAGCAATAGCTGATTGCATTTTCTTAGTTCTTTGCAAACATGATGAAATTCATTGGCTTAAGCTCTTTTCATTGTGTAACACATTCCACCTTCTGTTCTTAATAACTCAAGACTAATCTTGAAGGTAGCTGACACATGGCAACTAAGGAAGGTGCGATATCTAATTTTTGTGCCTGAGATCATAGAATCATCGAATCATAGGATGGTTTAGGTTGGAAGGGACCTTAAAAACCATCCAGTCCAACCCCCCTGATGCAAGTTTCCTTGAAAAACCATAGAATTTGGATCTCCAAGTATATTTTTGAATAAGGGATATTGAAACACTATGCACAGGAAAGGCAAAAAAAAAAAAATTAAATAAAATATAATAATTTTTTAAAATAATTTTTAAAAAATCAGAGCTCTATCCTATCTGTACAACTTAATGTGAGACATTATGCAGCTTAATAAAGGAAATAAAATGGTGCAATAAAGAAACGCACGGCGAGGAAGGACAAAGGTTCTGGTGATATGCAGCAGCAGATGGAGACTTCTATCTAACACAGACCTTTAATTCAAGCCCACTTCTCCATTAATTAAAGCGGTGGGCATGTGAAAACAAATATGTCTCAGCGTAATTGTCTCTAAATAGACTTTCAAAGTTTGCCATGTGAGGTCTCACCAAATCTTTAAATGAAAGTGTCTCTATGCAGAAAAAAAAAATCACTCACAAATCCAGCTTTTTTTTTCTTTAATTAAAAATCAGAATAAAGCCATTATTTGACATAGAACTGACTGCCTTTGGATTCTCGCCCTCCCCCACTCCCCCAAGCTTTATGATTTAGTATCTGGCTAAGGAAAACTATATTTAATTAGGCTCATTAACCTTGCAGTGTGAACACATCTTTTTTTTTTTTTAAATAAGTCATCTGCTAGTCATCTGCACAGTCATGTGGCTTCAGGGATAAAAGTAATTAAAGCAGTTACACTATAGCTAATTAGCCAATATTCTGTAATCACTCTTCAAGTTTACTTTTTCCTCTGAAGACATCTGAAAAATCATATTCAAAATCATAACAGGAAATTCATCTCCTGTCTTTGAAGAACATGAATCCAAAAATACCAAGCATTTCCTCAGAAAACAATAAATAAAACCACTTCATTAGTATAATTACATAAATATCTAAGATACCTAACACATTCCTCATAAAACAGACTATGCTTTTCAGAAGCTTTTAAAAAAAATGTGTAGATGGCATCTTTTCAGATGGTGAAATAGAAAGCTCAAGAATGCCTGAGGCTGTAGTTTCACAAGCATTTTAAGGCAACACTGTCCCCAAAAGATGCTGCACCCCCCACTGGTTATCTCCTCCTTTGTGCCAGAAACAGCATGTGTGCTCCTGCTCTTACCATGAACACATGAGAAAATGGGTAAGGGAAGCGATGAAAGCTGTTATTTCTGGATAAGGGAGTGAAACTCTGTCCTGACCCTTGAGTGGAGAAATGCAGCATTCAGCTGGACACAGGCTGACCCCAGCTGGTCATGCACAGCAGAGCAAAGCTACTGGATCAGGTCTTGTTACAGTGATCACACCATGAAAGCTCTTCAGGGGTTTGGGGGTTATTCAGTTTCTTTGAGACAGAAGCTGTAGTTATTACCCCACAGTGACTCCTGCTATGGACTGATTTTTAGTGGGGGTCTTCCTCATATGAGAGAAGTTCAGTCTTCAAGTCATCAGCATTCAGATACTCAAAGCAGGACACCAAGGCATGAGCCCTGAACTCTGTCTGTCCTGTGCGCTCTACTGTCCTGTGACATTAGTGGAATCACACAACGTTGACCATGGATCACATGAAAGGGATCATGGTATCCTCCAAAGTACTTTGAAAACTGCTGACAAGCCTTTCCTCAGAGAATGAGTTGCAGAACAACAGGAGCTTGGTTTCCTACAGGACCAAATCCTCTGCTGTTCCCTCTCTTCTTCCCTGGCTCCAGAGACCGCTCCTCACCCCAATAACCCATCTGTCCTGTTATGGTTGTTAGGACCATAAAACAGGACACAAACTTCCAAAAAGCCCCCTAAAAACCATGAAAACTCAAGTAATTGCTGAGAGTGTCTGCCTTTGCCTCAATAGAGGGACTAATTTGATCATTCCATCCTGTGACTTACTTATTTCTGAGACATCTATCTGTCCTTCAAATTTGGTTACAATTCTCCAGCAGATTTAAAAGGTGTTAGAAAGGAACAGTGAAGAAACAGAGTCACAGTACAGGCTAAAACCAGCTATTAATATATTAGAACAGAATTATGCTGTCTTGAAAAAGGATGCAACACTTCATTATCTAAATGCCACTTACCAACAGGCTAGCTCTCACATGTAAATGGCTCAGAAATACCATCTATAATTAAAAATATCAATTGAAACATAATGAATGTATTTCTGGCCCTTCAACTAGAGGGGTTGAGCAACACAGATAGATTTTTTTAAGGTTTTTTTTAGAATCCAAGAACATACTTTGCAGAACAACTGTAATTCTTCATTACTCAGAATACATATGTCTATATATACATATACATATATATACACACACATACACACACACATATACATAGAAACACACACAGATTAAAAAAATAAAATCATAAAATAATTTGGGTTGGAAGATCTCTGAAGGTCATTTGTCCAATCTCCTGTGCAAAGCAGGGTCAGCTCAGAGATCAGATCAGGCTGCTGAGGGCTTTATTCAGTTGGGTTTTGAGAGTCTCCAAGACCGGAGACTTCACAGACTCTCTAGGCAACCTGTCTCACCACCTGACTGTTCTGCATGAAGACATTTTTCCTATATCCAGTCTGAACTTCTCTGTCTCAAGACAAGCCTGTTGTCTCACTTCATCCCATCACGCAATGCTATGAAGAGCCTGGCTTTGCTTTCTTGATGCACTCCCTGTAGGGATGAGCAGGCTGCTGATAGGACCCCCCCCAGAGCCATCTCTTCCCCAGGCTGAACCAGCCCAGCTCCCTCAGCGTCTCCTCACAGGCCAGGCACTCAAGCCCCTGATCATCTTGATGGCCCTCTACTGAAGTTGTAACAGTTTAGCAATCTCTTTCGTCTACGGGGGGCAACAAAACGGGACACAGTCATCCAGATATGGCCTAACAAGTGCTGTGCAGAGGGGATGATCCCTTTCTTCCCATGAGCTACTGGTCATGTCCCTGCTGGCACAGCCCAGGAGGCCACTGGCTCCCTCTGCAGCCAGGGCACTGCTGGTTCATGCCCAGCTTGCTGCCCTCCAGGCCCCAGGACCTCTCAGCCAAGCTGCTTCCCAGGCAGGCAGGCCTCAGCCTGTGTAGCTGCTGGAGCTCGTCCTCTCCAGAGCAGGGCTCTGCCTTCAGCCCTGCTGAATGTCACTGAGCTCCTGTTGACCCATTTACCCAGCCAGTTTGGGTCCCTCTGATCTGACTAATTTAGTCTCATCTGTAAACTTCAGAAGCAAGCAGTCTATCATCTACTCCTGGTCACTGAAAAAAAAAAATAAATAGGATGAGTCTCAAGCTAGATTCCTGCATTACTCTACTTGGTATCAGCCTCAAAGGACAGTACTATAGGCTGTGTTATCTGCTGGGCTTTAAACATCCTACTCACCATTTTCTGGTTCTACCCAATGTTACTGAATGCCTGTCTTTCTCCACAGCTTTTGAAGTTGTTGTATCAAAGCTTCATCTGCAGGGGGCAGAAAACCCACATGGCAGATGTCTGCATGCCCAAAGTTGAATCAAAGGAGTATGCTTCTAGCTTACACTGCAAAACAGATGCTCACTGATGGGTTTCACAATTTTGTTGTGAAGTCACATCTGATGCTTTTCTGAAAACTGACAAAACATGAAGCACATGCTCCATTATAGTCCTGCATCCCTGGGAGCAGAGCAGGAGAGCCAAATTCCTTTCAGCCTCTGCAGACATTGTGATGGACCCAAGTACCCAAGAATGCCTCCACAAACAGTCCCTGTGGAATGATAAACTTGTAAAATTCCTTATCCACATGCTTTACGTGGCTCTCTGATGACAAATGTATCAGTGTGTTAGACTAGTGACTCCCTGACTACTTCATGCAAATCAGTATCTGTTTCTCTGTGTCACATATACCTGTTGTTTACTCAAAAACACCTTGTTCTTCTACTAAGGAACAGTGATAAAGAAAGGAAAGAAAGGAAAGAAAGGAAAGATTAATTAAAGGCTTTTAGAAAAATGTATTTATTTTAAAAAAAAAAAACATATGATAAAGCATTATGTGCCATGATTTAAGAAGAGTTTGGCTTGTCATTGATAAACAAATAGATGCTAATGGTAGCACCAGAAATTTACTTCTTAAATACTGACATTAGGTAGCAAGCACAGAAATAGCAGACACTGAAAAGACTCAAATAATACATTTTTAAGTAAAAGATATTTTACCACTAGGTGTCTCTGCTAGAAAACTATAATTCTACAGAATGCTCTGTGAGATATGGGGCAAATAATCTGAATTAGTATTAAAGCTGCTGCCACAAGCTGGCAAAACCTTCAAAAGCCAAAGTGAAGCACGCAGAAGTAGTGTATATTGTTAGTGGCCACAAGAGATAAAGGCACAGATTTAACATTAACTTCTTTTTGAGTACTGCTACCTGCTAAGATACAACATCTCAAGAAAGATACAGAAACTTACTTAAGATATAGCACTTAACGTATTTCAGATGTGTATTTAGTGGGAGAGTGAATGGCAGAGAGATTCAGTTCTCCCTTTAAAGCAGCCACCGTAAGGCAGCTGTTGGAAACAACCACAGTGGGTATGCTGCTGTCTAATTCAAACATGGTCGTGGCTACTCCATTCCCCTACTGTGCCTGCCCTGCACATCTCACCCAGCTGCTTTTGACCACAACTGACATAAACGAAGATCACTGGGAAGGGATGGCAACCGGTACCTGCTGATAACCTGAGGGCAATGGCCTTTCCAGGTAAATCAGCTGCGGCTGGAAGTGGCCACATGGTGCAGCCTTGGAGCCATCCATTCCTCTGTGCTCTCCATCAATAATCGTGAGCATTACTTGACTTTGCTGCTTCGGCAGGTGAGGGCGACTTATGGGAGGAGAAAGAGCAAGATCCAGCTAAATGTTTGTGAGGTTGCCTGTCTCTTCCAATAATTTCCCACTCCAGCAGCATGGCCTTCCTTACATGTAAACCTGTCTGTTGGAGGATGACTCAATGGGAACTGAACTGACTTCACACTCAAGTTTCTGAGCTCCCCATGCATGCTGACAATAATTTAGAGTAAGAAAAAGCACAACACTCACCTAGTTTAAAGTAACTGGAGTGTATTTGTAGACTTCAATGCTAGCTTTTTTTCCTAACAGACACCCAACTTTTGCCACTATATTATTAACATGTTTGTTTCAGCAAAAAGATGCTGTTCAGATGGCTACAGCTGAAACTCATCTGTCTCTAGAAGCAGCCCACAGATAAGCACATCAGAGAGCAACTCCGCAGCTCGCTTTCAGGAGTTACAACATGTCAGTAATTTCGGAGAATGAATGGAGTCAACTTTGAGCTGTCCACAGGCTAATCATTTAAAGTGCATGTTAGCTCTGTAAAAATGCCCATGCTAGACGCAGGAGCAGAGTCATGTGACACCATACAGCGTGGCCACCTGAACTCTGCTCACATCGACCTTGAGACCTCCCTGTTCCATACCAGCTGTCCTTTGCTTCCTCTCTTCCATGACACCACCCCTGTACCTCCTCCACTGTATTGTTCATCTACTCATATTGAGCACATTATCATACCTTAGGGGCAGACTGTAGGATGACAAATCACCTGAATTCATTCCACCATTGCAGCTGGGGTTTGCTGGGCAGAGAAATCAGAAAGTTGTAGCCATTTCTCCTTCCCTACCAATCAGCAGAAGAGTAGCTCCAACTGGGAAATGGCATAGGAACCCTTTCTTAGCTGCTCTCTGCCTTACCTGAGGCACAGCCACCTTTCAGGGCTAGAAACTATTTGCAAACACTTGGAAAATCCTTACCAGCCTTCAGAGAGCAAGCAACAACGAGAGTGGTAACAAGAGGTAAAGTACCAAGTTTACAAATCAGAATCCAACTAATAAGTGTTTTGAATCTCCTAGAGAAACAGAAGCAGGGGAAGGTTTATTCAGTGAAAGCCAGAAAGGTGCTCAAGAGGGACGGGGTCCAGCTTTCTGACAGGACCAGAGCTACCGAGTCCCACAGCCCAGTGCCTGGCTCAGAGTCTTTGTGATGGGCAAACCTCAACTGCTGTTTCACCTGGGATACCAAAGGTACCAAAACCAGCCTCCGACAGGCCTCCCGGTTGAAGGGACAACCCGAACAGTATGTTACGAGCGTATGTTAAAGAATCTAAAGGAATCGTAAGTCTATTTCTACTTTGGCTTTTCAGAAAAACAAGGTTTCGACGCCGCCTGGCTTGCACACACCCAGGTGGGTCCGCCGGGGGCGGAGGGAGAGGCGCGGCCAGAAGCCCGGCCCCACAGCCAGAAGCCATGCGGCGCCTCGCCCCCTCGGTCGCTCAGCGGCACTTCGGCCGTTCCCAAGGCGGACGTCCCT